AAGCAAAAAGCTTTGGGGGTATCTATATTAAGCCTGACAAAGTACTTAACGTTTAATATATTGCATGGTTTGTTTTGAGACTTGACAATCAACTTTCCTGCAATGTTAACTATGTTGAAGCACTTATTTTAACCGATATTATACATATTTACTATACTCTTATAAGATGTATGTAGATAGAATAAGAAATGTGCAGAATATGACAGTTTAATGGTGGAGGTACACACATATTGATAGATCTCTTGTTGAGGAACCTATGACCCAAGTTTGTCATGATTGCATAACTACACCGTAGTTGTGTATATGATATGTCAATAAACCTTTGAAAATCTTGAAATCTTGAAAGGGATGTGCAAAATAGCCATTATATACAGTTTTTGATGAACAATTAGAGAATAACAAGTAATGAATATGCTTTATAGGGATCTGCAGATACATTTTTTGTCTTCTCAAGCACCAACTATCTAATATCTCGCCTGATTGTTGGCACTTGACAATCACCTTCACTGAATTTTACTCAGGTGTAACTAAAGTCTGATTTAAGGGTTGTTTATATTTCACATCATTAATCCAAATCTGTAAAGCAACTAAAATAAATGTAGTAAAAATACCAGGTTAACCTTAAAGAAAGCCCTCAGGATTATAAAAGACCCCCATCACCCCAGCCACAAACTGTTCTGTCTGCTGCCGTCTGGCAGGCGGTACCGCAGCATCCGGACTAAAACCACCAGACTCAGGGACAGCTTCATCCCACAGGCCAGAAGACTATTAAACACCTGAACTTTGAAACAACATCCATAACATTCATCTGGCTGCTACTTAGAAATTATTTGTCTAATATATCATATATAGACTCTGACTGCACTATTTAACTTTTTACTATTTTACTATTTTTCTTTTTGTATTTACTTGCACTATTTTTTCTGTGTATCTGTTTTATTGTGTTGCACTGTTGGAGGAGCCTGTGACCTAAGGGGGGGGGGGGGGTAGGACTTGATTTGGATAGTGTGCCGTCGATGGGTTATATCTCACACAGGCTCTGCCCTCTACTGGACTCTATGGGTACTACTCTCTATCATGCTGTGCGTGCTTTCACCTACTGAATTTACGTAAACGTAGCCGGCCAATCGGGGCGAGCCTACCTGAATGCGCGCGCAGGCCCACAGTATATAAGGCGGCTACAGCCGCCGCCCCACTATCCTTTTTCTCTTCAGACGAGTTGACAACCGAAGAGATAAACGTACGAAGATTAGAAGATTAGAAGAAACGAAAAATTGACTCACCATTACTGGAATCTCGGCCATGCCCCACCTGCCTTGGTTTGATCGCGGGCACCGATCTCCACCACCTCTGTTAGAGTGTTTGGGGGACCAGGATATGGCCGAGGCGGTGCCATTCACGTTCGCCATTCCAGCGGGGCGGATGGCTCCGTTTGCCGTTGTCGGGCACTTCCGGGTTCGGTCCATGGAGGTCCACCGCCCTAGGTGATGACCATGGCGGCGGAGCACAGCTGCTCCCAGCGGGAGGAGCCAGCAGGTGGGCGCGTGCACGTGAGTGGAATAAACCGTAGTGCTGTCAAAGCACTGTGCGGGTTCAAAAGAGTGGAGAAATGCATTCAGTGAAAACGATTGCATTTATCCCAGAGTAAGAGTCATCTCTCTCCACATTTCCACTTTTCACCATAAATGTCCGTTTCAAAGAGATGGCAGTTGACAGAGCCGCGGCCCCACGGGAGCTGCCGCGGTGCGTTCAAGAACCTCGGTAGAAAATCGGCCCTTTTTCTGTGTCAGCCCCCATGCCAGAACTCCCTTTTATGGAAGGTTTGGCAGCGGAGTAGGCCACCAGAGAATACTACAGCTTCTTAGATGTGGCTCCAAAGTCGAAAAGAGGCCCTGTTGCAAGAACGGTGGGTTACGTATATAGTAACGTATATAGTTCTAGAGTGATGTGTGTGTGAAAAATGCATTTAGTAAAAACGATTGCATTTATCCCAGAGTAAGAGTCATATCTCTCCACAATTCCACATTTTCCCCATAATGTCTCGTTGAGATCGGCAAGGCCGTTTTCATACGATGTTAATTGGACACCCATTATGAGGCGCGGCCCCCGTGAGAGTGGCCGCGCGGTGCGTTCAGGGACCTCCGCAAAAAGAACAGTGTGTTACGTAGTGTAACTCTAGTTCTAGAGTGATATGTGTGTGTAAAATGCATTCAGTAAAAACGATTGCATTTATCCCAGAGTAAGAGTCATCTCTCTCCACATTCCACATTTCCCCATAATGTCCGTTTCAAGGAGACGGCATTATGACGACGCGCGGCCCCCCCCCCCGTGAGAGTGGCCGCGGTGCGTTCAGGGGCCTCCGCAGAAGAACAGTGGGTTACGTAGTGTAACTCTAGTTCTAGAGTGATATGTGTGTGTAAAATGCAGTCAGTAAAAACGATTGCATTTATCCCAGAGTAAGAGTCATCTCTCTCCACATTCCACATTTTCCACATTTCCCCATAATGTCCGTTTCAAGAGACGGCATTATGACGACGCGCGCCCCCCCCCCCCCCAGAGCGGGCCGCGGTGCGTTCATGGACAGAAGAAGCTCAGATTAATGCTTATTTCTCTCTAAGAGAAAACAGCATTATGGTGGAGCGCTCGCTCTCACGGGAGCATGCCGTGGTGCGTTCAGGGACCTCAGTTAAAAATCGGCCGTTTTTTTCTCTGAGTGGAAACTACATTATAGAAAAACGGCCCTTTCTGTGTCAGCCCCCCATGTGTCAAACTTCCTTTTATGGAGGGTTTGACGGCGGAGTGGGCCACCAGAGAGTACCACAGCTTCATAGCTGCGGCTCCGCAGCTGATTGCACATCCCCACTGTAAGACCGAACATTACAAGCTTCTGAAAGAAAATGGGTTGTTTTAACTCAAACATTTAAAAAAGTTAATTCACCGCTAATGTTTTGATGACTATGAACTGATTTTTAATATTGTGTATACAGTGTTCAACCACTTTGGGTCATATTGGTGACTGTACTCAAACATTTTTACTGAATCTGTCTGACGCTGGTCTGACGTCATCACGTATGTGCTCCGCCCCCGACGTGCGTAGACGTTCTCTCACCCATGCCTTCACCAGAGTCCGCCATTAGCTCCTCGCCTCGGTTGAAATCGCTTATACTTTTAAGAATACTTTCCCCACCTTGCTGATTGCACTCACTGCCGGAATCTTGATCCTTTTTTTGGCCGCACTACTCTGGTGAGTTACGTCTTGCCTTTGCACAGTATTTAAATGATGTTTTATTAATTTCTGCATCTAATGCACTTTGTGTCGCATGGTGTGTTAGTTTGATTTGAGCTCTTGTTAGCTAGCCTACATTTAATATCTGCCTTACTTGAAAAATGATTTAACTTACGTGTAAGACAGTATTTCTATATTGTTTTAAGTTATATCTCAAAGTGGAACGTTTGTGTTGCAAAAGTTCTCTGGAAAATTCGAACCTAAAATGGCGGCAGGCCGCGCGTTTTCTTTCTTCTTTTTTTTTTACTGCATGTCTGGGCATGTTTTATTAACTTAGAGGCATAGAGGATTTACGTTCATTTGATCCACTACAATGTACCATAACCGTGCGTTCTGCATGTTGGTAAAAGCAAGCTAACTTGAAACAATAGACTATTCATTTTACAAGGTAATTTATACCCCCCAGCGTTTTCAATTACATGTAACTTAGCAAAGGTAATGATTGCACAGTGATGATACTAATACTTCTAGAGTCTGTGGAATCTCAGCTTTAATCTGATAAGTAATAAAGTATTTCTACCGTGAGTTAGGCATTTTTTCGCTCCGGGCTAATTTAGAGCTTCTTGTGAGACTTGTGTTTTGTTTCGGTAAAAATGGTTCGTATCGTCAGTTAGGTGAGTTTCGTTAAGTGGGTATGACACATTAATAGGTTTTTAAATGTTAAGAAGCCCTGAGACAAAGTTCGTGAACAAAAAGCCCTCTGTACCGGTGGCTGCCCGGTTTAACAGATTAATAGTCTAGTGTTTCAAGTTAGCTTGCTTTTTACAAACATTCAGAATGCACGGTTATGTTAAAACGTTAGTGGATAAAATTAACGTAAATCCTCTATGCCTCCAAGCTAATAAAACATGCACAGACATGCATGTGGTAACAAAAAAGAAGAAAAGCGAGCGTCCTGCCGCCATTTTCAACCCAGTCTCACGGCATTTCGTGTTATTAGTCACGAAATTAATTTAATCTATTGATTCGTGTTCACCAACACGATTTTAAATGCAATGTATTTCTATTGGTAGTATGTTTCGTGCCTGCAACACGTCTTTTTGTCCGGTCGGGTCTTGGAAGACCGGAAGCTGTGTGGTTCATAAAAACATGTTCTTACTCAATACCTTACCCTAAGCCTAACCCTATCCCTTTTATTTTAAATTGTATAATGTCTGAGTTTTTTTTGCCGTCAGTGAGGAAAAGAAATGGCTCAGAGCCTCAGAATACTGACATCTGTATTTTATGTCATCTTTTTTTCCTTCTAATTTGTTATTATTTGGTGCAGGCACGAAACATACTACCAATATAAATACATTGCTTCTAAAATCGTTCTGTGTCAGAATACTGAAATCTGTATTTTTTTAAATGTCTTTTTCCTTCTAATTTGATATTATTTACATTGCTTTTAAAATCGTTCTGTGTGACACGAAAAAAATGGCGAAATCGTGTTGGTGAACACAAATCAATAGATTAATTTCGTGACTATAACACGAAATGCCGTGAGACTGTGTTGCCATTTTAGGTTCGAAAATAGTGTTTCTCAGATCATTTTGTGAAAACTTTGCAACCCAGCTAACCTTCAATGTTTTTTCTCTTTAGGAAACTGAAGCAACTGGCAGATATATGGCTTCTTCAATCTGACTCTAACATCAAAAGACCAAAGAGGGCAGAGGTGAATTTCTTGCCTAATTTCCCACTGGGTGAAGATGGTACAAGCCTCGAGCAATTGAGACTCCAAATCGTAGATGAAGTTACGAGGAGTGATAAAAACCTTCCCTTGATTGAAAAGTTAATGCAGACTACCTTTGCCCTGCGGCGCAATGAGATCATCAATGATGAGCTACCTGTTGGAGAGATCCTGGAACGCTGGCCTGCCTTGAAAATGGAGTCACAGGTGAAAATATTGTATTTATTACCACTATATAATTATTTTGTGTGCCTTTGTCACTGATAACTTTGACATGTTTACTCAGTTTTAGCATGTTATGTTTGTGTTTATCTCTGCTGCCTTCAGTCCACATCTACATTGTACTGTGAATTAAATAGTCATTTTATATTTTGGCAGATTTGTGCAGAGTTTCACAGGATAACAAACCTCAACCTGAAGAACCACTTCTATGCGGAGTTGGATAGACATGCCCCCCGTCTTCAGAGCCTGTTCAGGAAGAAGGCGGCAAGCAAAGGGAAGGTAGCTGAAGTTCTGATTCAGCTATTCGTCTCCTATGACCTCCAGGTGAGTCGGTTATGCCTCTTGGTGTTTTATTCTCATACTAGAGTGGATTATCTTTGTCAAAATGGTAATCTCTTCAGTCATGGAAGAGCCCTTTCTTGTGATATCAATTGTTGTGTGGCTATACTGTTTAGCATCCAAAGTAAAACAAAGATATGTTCTCACACTCAAGGAGCAAGGTGACGTCTATGTCCGACGTGCTGCTGTCCTCCGTGCTCTGCCTGCATATCTGCATGAAGATGACTCCACGTTTCTGAGGCTGTGGCATGTAAGTCAGCATAATAACTGTTTTGAATGTATGTGACAGATCATCAAAAAATATAGTTTATCTTGTTACATTGTTTCAGGAGCTCTATCGCAGGAAGACAATTATTTGAATTTTTATAGTGAAAACATTATAATAAATGATAGATTTAGTTTGAAAAAGTATGAACTGTCCTGGTGTCATCAAAGCTTGATTCTGTCACTGAGGTTATATTACTCAAACATTATCTCTTGTGTTGCTCACATCCCATTCAGGTTCTAGTTCCAAGATTTGAATATTGCCATAAGAATTGTAATTATTGTAAGGTACACAATGGATATGTTGAATATAATCTCGCTTTACTTTACTACTTTAGGATTTATTTGAAAGCTCTTTAGGTTTCAGTGTTAAAAATGGGCTCACGTGATTTAATAAAATATACAATTAAGAGAGGGCTTTCTTTCCTACAGCATCAGTGTTCAATACAAAAGAATCTCTAGTGTTCCCCATATTTTTGTATGTGTAGTAGGGAGAGATTATACTGTAAATATATATTCAGTTGCCAGTTTATTAGGTACAACTAGCGAATAGTAACACAGTCTAATACAGTGATAAAATAAATCCTACCCTTATGAAGGTTATAAATGTTTTTTTTGTAGAAAGCATTTATGTCAACTGATTGGGTATTTTGGAGGCTGAAGTTTCTGGGGCTATAACATTATGTTGTGCAATGCTGATAGGTGTTTCCTTAACCCTTTAACTGCCAGCGCCACCATTTGGTAGAGCACATTTTGTGTCTTGATATCTTGTTTAAAAAAAGAAGTTGAACTCCATCTGATTCAGCCAGCTCTACCATCTGGTTGACGTGTTATGCACAAAACAACCTCTAGATGTCACTGTGGTTCAAATAGAAAGCCCTTCAGCTAGCTTCCACTGAGAAAGTTGGCAATGCTAAAAATCACTGCTGAAGAAATCTCTTTTTGGTCAACTTTTGTAAGGTAACCATATCAATTTTGACATATTTTAGTGTCAGAGCACTGACTGAACATATTTAGATAACTTGATGCACAAAAAAAGTTTTAACAAGGGTGTAATTATTTTTTGGAAAATATGCTCAACCAATCGGTGGAATTGGCTTTTTATGGTAAACTAGCAATATGACTTTTTCAGAGTTTCAGAGATGTTTTCCAATAAAATATGGTAAATAAATGGCTAGATTCATGGTAATATTACTAAATCTAATACTGCCTTATGAGTCTCAGAGTGAAAGAGTGATAATAATTTATATAGCACCTTTCATGCATGGCATTCAGCCCAAAGTTGCTCACAGATGAGCAAGTTAGGCCAACACAGGATATAGACATTTGCTGTTAAGCCAGTGGTTTCTTGTTAGGCCAATTCAGCATCTACAGTAAGATGAGCAATTTTTTTTTTTATTATGAAAAACACTTTTTTTTACAATTATAATGTATTATCTTTTATGAATATATCTGGTTGTATATATTGCTCATTTTCCATAAAAGAAACAAATGTATTTCAGTTTGTGTTTTATTTGAGTTTGATGCGTACAAATACTGTACTGTATATGATGATTCTTGAAAATGCACTTTTACCATAAAAGGCCAGCTCGACCAGTTGGTAGAGGCTCATAAAAACAAAACTGTGGGGTCAGTCAAAACATTTTTTTTAATTTGTGGCCCATTTGATAAAAAAAAATGCAAACAAATAATTTTTCCATAGCTTTTTTCTTGGTCTGGCAGTTAAAGGGTTAAAGCCACATTATGCACAAAACATTAGGTTATTTGATGTGTTATGTCACTGATGTATTTTTCAGAAAACAGATTTCTGAGATAGCCAAGGCAATATGGGGTAATGGGTAACGTTTATCTGTTCTTGTCATCAGGTGGAGCAGTCTGATGATGCAGACATAGAGGACATCGCGGTCGGACTTCTCATGATCAGTGCCAGGTCAACAGATACCACGCTCTTCTGCCCAGAGAGGATCGCTGTTGTCATTGAGGGTAACAGAGTTATCGAACTCCCTACACTGGCTGACACATTCATCCTGCTTTTTGCACTGACCTTTGCCCTGCATCTGAGCTATCCAAAAGACTTGGCCAACACTTTTGACTTCACCCAGAAAGTGTTGATGGGCCTTGATGAGGGGAACTTGAAGAATTTGAAGCCCAGGGTGTTGAGCCTGAAAAATGACCTTTTGGCAGTGTAATACTACCAACGTGCAAAGTTGCACTTTAACAATCACACACACACACACACACTAAAATAAACAACTTCTTTACCGAAGACTTGTATTTACGGAAGACAGGCAAGCTATCTTCCGGCTGTGATTGGTTGTTCGTAGTCACCTGGCAATCTGTGCTCTCGGCTGAGTTCAAAAGTTAAAGTTCTTTAAACTAAAGATGCAGTCATAGTGTCCTGGTCACGCCTTGTGAAATTGGGGTGTCTTTATTGACAACAGTGGATTTGAGCAAGGGTACCGCCCCTATGCAAACTGCCAACATTATTTTTCTCAGAAAAAACCACACACACACACACTCTGTTCTCCTGTTTACATCCTGCTGCTTTACATCTGTGTTCTGTATTGCATTGACAGATTTGTTACTGTTCAGCTTCAAGTTGAAGGACTGTTTGTAGATGTTGTTTTATACTTTTATATGTATTGGGTCTTTATGTGTTAAATTAATACGCAGAACTGTTCCTGAAAATTGTGTTTAATTCTTGCCAACACAAGCACATTATGTGTCTATGCTGGTTTTGTTAAATGTATTCAGTACCTATTCATTTTCATATGCCTTGGTAGGCTTGAAGACATTGGACCCTGTATGTGTAAGTGATCTTTCATCTGAACCTGGTGTGTCTCTCGTGGTAGACTGATTTCATAGAAGAGTCTCTTTTAACTTGAGGAGGAGCCTTTCACATAATAACTTTTAGAGCCAAAGTTTGTTTCTTTTGAAACTATTGTGGTTAAAAAGGCCCTAGCACTGTTTTTAAGGTATATTTTTTATTTAAGAGTTATTTGCTATAATGTGTATGTGTGTATATATATATATATATATATATATATATATTGTTTCTTAATAAAACAGTGATTTGCATTTAAATTGTCAGTGTAAAAGTGCTTTTGAATGTTTACTCAATGTTAACTTAGGGATTTTGAGTTACAGTTATCTGAAAATATTTATGTAATCGGTTTCAAAAAATGTTTTAAAGCTCCCATGTCATGCTTTTCCGGTTATTACCCGTCCCCTTGTGTGTTATGAAGGTTTTTATGCATGTAAACGGTGTGCAGAGTCAAAACCCTCAAAGTACACCCTGTAGCGAGTAAAACTCTAACACAGAAAATACCTCCCCAAAACGCCTCGTTGGAGATACGTCACTGCCCATTTGAGTCTTCCATTTAGTTCCGGGTACCGCCTGATGTCATGCGGTACCCGGAACGAAATGGACCAATCCCGAAGAGCTATGGCCACACCAGCAGCGGCGTGTTCCTCCTCCAGAGGTTCGAAGAACCGGCATTTCACAGACGAAAGCTTCCAAAACATTGCCCAGTTTGAGGCCGGATATGCACAGCTTGTTTGGACCGTTTGGAGCAGGGGAAGATCTGGGTATACAACCTGTAAGTTTGCATTGTTATTTGTGTATTTATCAAACAAGACTGTTTAAATGTGTAAACTGTGTTGGACTGCTAAGCCATTGACACAGTGCTAACTGTGCTAACTAAGTTGCTAGAGTTTCCATATATCAACTCTAATATCAGCAGATGGCCTTGCATACATGTATCTCATAGCAGGAGAATGTCTGCATTCACACACAAAATACCTATTGACAGTATACTCCGGGTGATTTGCCGGTCAGTCGCGAAACGTAATTACATTATAGCTGGCGTAGCGATCTAACACACGGAGCTAGAGCTAGTTTTGGTCAGAAAAACATTTTTGTGATGCTACGTTGCTAGCGTTTAAATATATCAACTACAATGTCAGCAGATGGCCTTACATGTTTGTCATGGCAGGAGAATGTCTGCAGTCACACACACGGAATACTCATACAGTATACTGTACTGTGATTTACCGTACATTGTGACCGTACATATACTGCATGTAGCTAACGAGGCTAGCTGTATGCTAGCGCAAAACAATGTATTCATGCAAGTTACATTGTATGACCGAACGTAGCAGAATACCCGTATACGATTGCAATTATAAACACGTTATTGCTAGCCTAATATGAACCACTAGCTTTTGTTCATAGTAGTTTTATTACACTGCATTATAGTTGCCTTTCCTCCAAGCTAACGTTCATATCGTGTTAGCTACCAAGGTAAACAAAGCTAGGTTAGCATATTAGCAGGCAAGCTGTTCATTACACAACTACTACTAACGAATCTAAAACAACTAAGTTTCTCTAATATTTTGTGATTTGCATTTGATTTCGTCCAGCCAGATCCTGGCGGACAATCCATGACGGGGAAGGGATTCTACTACTACTGAGGGTGCTAAAAGGCACCGCACCGACTGTGCGCAGGCAAGATGCGAGGAGGAGGAATGGATGATATACCGTGTATATATGTATATTTATGTTCATTTTGTACATTTCTAAAAATAAAGTTTAATGGAAATACTTAGTAGGCCTATCCTTTCTTCCCTGAATTCATATATAGCAAACCATGATTTGATTTCTCATCAAACAGTAGTAGTTTATAACGGGTAAAAATAACTTACTCTTTGTTATGAGAGTAGCTCGTAGGCCACAACGGAAAGACAAGGAGACATACACGAGTTTACAAAACCACGGCACATTTATTGTGGTAAATGCAAAGATAGGTGGTTGAGAGGATCGCAGAGTTAGTCTTCCTGCAGCCGCTTTGGAGAGAGACTGTGTCCGGAGGTGTCCGTGATCGTGCTGATTAGCCTCTTCAGCTCCACCCCATCGTAAGACAAAGGCCCTGGGGCCGTCACACTCTTCTATAACAACAGTTAAAAATATATATGTATATAAAATATACCGCTGTACCGACGCCATGATAAGACTGATGTTACGCTGAGAGCAGCCGGGAAAAGCACTGACATGGGCGCAGCCTCTCTGGTGGTTGACTAATCAGAACGAGTGGCCGAGCTGACCAATCGGAGCACACTAGGCTCACAGGGAGGGGGGGGCAAGAGCTCCAACGAGTCGTTTAGTGGAGAAAGTGAATACTGCTGAATACACATGCTTGACAGAGATGCTGTATGCGAAACCAATGTGAGTTTGGAAAATTGCACAGTATAAATCTATTTTAGTATACCTCAACAATGTAATTATGATCAGTGGAAATGGCCATGACATGGGCCCTTTAAGTACTCTACATTCAGTCAGTTTTGAGTACTAATCAATTGACGTTTTTAATTCATATCGCGTTTTATACAGCGAAAAGTTTTTTATTTAGAGATAATAAAAATATTCAAGTTAAATATATTTGATTTTCATATGTACTGTGCTAACAAAATAGCTAGTTGAAAAGATATGAACATTTTTAAGTCAACAATACTTGATCTTTATATGTACAGTGTTAACACAAATTATTAGTTAAAAGAAACTTAATATATAATGTTTCTTTAACTTACAAACAATATGTTTGTGTGCCTTGAAAATTACTACTAAATAGAACTCAATTGATAAGATTATACTTTAACTTAAAACATTTCAGTTAAGGTATAAGTATTACTCAACAATTTGTATGTAATCAGTTTCAAAGAAACTTTTGAGTTCTATTAACTTGTCAGGTTTTACAGTGAATGTTATGGGGAATGGAAAATCAGTGGTGTATTAACAGAGCGCATGGACAGGACACTGAGACTGGGTTATTCACTCCAGTTTTGCAGCATCCCTCCTCCGTTCAGAGGCAGGAGAGAGTCACATCTGTCATCCCAGGAGGAGGTTTCCTCTCAGCATGTGCACTATCAAGTCAGAGAGAAGGGGCATTATTCCCTGTACTTCCTGGTTCCCAAGAAGACAGGAGAATTCAGGCCCATTCTGGATCTTCAATGCCTGAACCAGCACATTGCATGCAAGAGGTTCCATATGTTAACTATGAAACAGTTACTGAGACTGGTGCAGCCAGGCGATTGGTTCACAACCATCGACCTGAAGAACGCTTACTTTCATGGCGAAATTGCTCCAAGAGCACAGAAAGTATTTGCGTTTTGCCTTCCAGGGGGTAGCCTACGAGTACAACAGACTGCCGTTCGGCTACTCCCTATCCCCACGCACGTTCAGCCACGACGCTGCAACCGCTGCGGGACCATGGCATGAGGGACGACCTCATAGTTATGGCCAGGTCCAGGGAATGGGCAATACTGCACACAGCCCAATTGATCCTACACCTAACCAAGTTGGGTTGAAAAATAAGTTGCGGTCAATTGGAAGAAGAGCTCCCCCATACCTCACTAGCAGGTAGAATATCTGGGGGTGATGCTCGATGCAGGCAGACTACGTGTCACCCTGACAGAAAGCAGACAGGCATCCCTGCTGCGGGCAGTCTGCAGGCTGCGTCAGGGGGTGACGGTGACAGCTTTGATCATCATGCAGACTTTGGGTCTCATGACGGCTGCTCACTCCGTAGTGCCACTCGGACTGCTGCATGCACGTCGCATGCAGATGTGGTTTACCGGCCTTTGTTTAGATCTTAAGACACAAACGACGTCTGGTGGCCATCCCCCCCCTCAGTAGAGAGCAACCTCCGATTCTGGGGGTCCCCAGAGAATCTGCGGAGGGGAGCTCCACTGGGGCAGGTAACCTCCTATATCACAGTCTTCACAGACGCTTCAAAGAAAAAGAAAGTGACAGGATGGGGGGGACGTGTCTCGAGAGAGCTGTGGGTGGTTGCTGGCCTCTGGCGGCACAGCAACCTCCTGGAGCTGCAAGCAGTGATGTTGGTCCTACAGTACGGCAAACCCTTAATACAGGGCAAACATGTGCTAGTAAGGAGCGACAACCGCACCACAGTGGCGTACATCAACAGGCAGGGCGGAGGCCGCTCAATAGCCTGGTTGACCGCAGCAGAGAACCTGTGGCTGTGGGTTTCACAGATTGTGTTGTCTCTAAGGGCCCTGCACATCCCGGGACGGGAGAACAGGGGGGCCGACCTCATGTCAAGAGGCGGACCCCTGCCAGACGAGTGGAGGCTTCACCCGGAGGTGGTGAAGCAGGTCTGGACTCAGTTCGGTAGAGCAGAGGTGGACCTGTTCGCCAATCGGCGCAACAGCCACTGTGCCCTGTGGTTCTCCCTGGCTCGGTGGGACAACCCGCCCTTGGGGGTCGACACATTTGCACACGAGCCATGGCCAAGAAAGCTGCTTTACGC